CCCGGGTGGCACAGTGATGGCACACTCAGTGCCAAGCAATAGGTTGGCAGTTCAAAACCACCAGCCACTCTGCTGGGGAAAGAAGCGCTCCCCTGCATCCAGAAAGATGAAGTCTGAGAAAACCGAATGGGGCAGTTCTACGCCGTCTTATTGAGGTGCTGTGAGTGGGAATCTACTCAGTAGCAGTGGGGGTATTTTGATTTGATTTGGTTTGTATTGCATCACACACTCTCCTGAAATTGTAGGGCCTTAGACTGTAAGCCTGGCACTTCAGCCGGGGTGATGTCTCATGAGCTTCCTAGCAACATGGTGGATTCGAAAAAATGAGACTTCTTTCACAGCATCAAGCATGTGGAAGGGATGAAGTAGAAGCTTCCAAGTCTCTTAATTCCAACAGGGAGGATAGCATAGGGTTGGCACCTCTTGAATGGGTAAAGCAATAATCACTGGCCTGCAGAGAGAGAGAGGCAGGTACTGGCAGTCACCTTCGCAGACAACCAACCAGAGGTATTTCACGAACAAACTCACTGGCATGCTTGAGTGAAGCCACTCAGATGGCTGGATGTGCAGTGGCAGTCCTTCTTCAGCCGTGAACTTCGATCACACCCGCTCTCTTCGTGTGTACCCGGAGCTTGAAACTGGCCTCCACGAGGGAAACGGGCAGAACCTACTAGATGCCAGACCCTCACGGCCATTGAGTCATTTCTGGCACTGGCAACCCTCCAGGACAGACTAGAACTGCCCCTGCGGTTTCTGTGGCCGCCCTTTTCACGGAAGCCTGGTAGACGGCCACCTCTCACAGCTGGGGGGGTCAGTAACTGAGCACGTAACCACTGGGCCACCAGGGCTCCTCAGATAGTCGATTCAAACTCACTGCCATCGAGTCGATTCCAACTCGGCCACCCTAGCAGGCAGACCCCGTGGGTTTCCGAGATTCCGAATCTTTATGCGTGCAGACAGCCTCATCTTCCTCCTGCAGCACAGCCGGTGAGTGCGAACCACTGGCCCTGGGGTTAGCATCTGGATTGCGAAGCCCACGCTACTACCGGGCTCTTTAGATCCTGAACAAGCCTTCAAGCCTTGTGGCACATTTGAGGAACACCTCGATGCTCCTAGGCTGGCTTATTACCACACACTTGGGCTCTTCTCTTTTCTTCCTTCATGCCAATCCCCTAGGGATAGCCTAGGAAGTGTGGTCCTCCCCTCCTCTCTCCAGTGTGCCAAGACTGCCCCATGCACAAGACTACAGAGAGAGCAATAGCCACCTTTACACGTCACAAACGGTCTTTCAGTCTACTAGCAAAGAACGCGTGACTCCAAAGAAAGATAGCTGTCCAGTTCTGGACATTTGGGTGCCTTGAAATTTCTTCCACGTTAGCATTAATTGAATTCCATCTCACCTACTGTTGCTCTTGCCCTCAGGGGGTCAGCATCGTGGAGCGGCAGTATATCCAGGACCGAACTCCTTCCTGGACTGGAGCGGGCTTCGTCCGAGTACCCGAAGGGGCCTACCTGGAGTTTTTCATTGACAACATACCTTATTCCATGGAGTACGACATCCTAATTCGCTATGAGCCCCAGGTAAAGGAACTCCACGCCGGCTGCCAGAGGGGCCTGACTGCTCACAGACGTGCTGTCTTTTTGTAAGAGTTCGAGGTCGCCTCAGAACAGATCACCTCTGGCTTGCTAACCTGCGTCACAGAATTTAGAACATCTGTTTCCCTTTCATTTCCTTCAGCAAACATTGAGAGAGTTCTTGCTAGGCCCCGAGGCCTGAGGCGGTAACAAGGCATGAGATCTGCTCCTTGCCCTCGCAGACTGCTCAGCCCAGCGAGGGACGCAGGGCCCTAACCGCAGCAGAGGCAGAGTACGCAGGGCAGCTGCAGAGAGAGAGCCAAGCAGTGACAGAAGACAGCTTATTGCTGGCTGGGCAGGGCCCAACGTGGGGCTGCCTACACGTTTCATAAAGAAGATCAAGGCCTTTCAGCACACTGTATTTTCTCACAACTCACGCGTGTAACACGCATGTGCACAGTGTGCACGGGAAACATACGTGAGGGGCTTGAGTGGTACTGTACGAAGTGCATGTTACTTGCATTTAAAATACAGGGGATGGAGGGCGGGAAATGAAACTCGCCCCGAGTCAGAGAGAATTCAAACCAGACTCACTGCCGGCCAGTCGATTCTGACGCATAGGGATCCTAGACAGCGTGGACCTGCCTCTTGGGTTCCCGTGACTTTTAAATCGCTACAGGAGCAGACAACGCTCATGTTTCTCCCGAGGAGCAGCTGGTGGGTTTGAACCACTGTCCTTGAGTTTGCAGCGCAATGCATAGCTGTGGCGGAGCAGTCCTTGCAAAGCGCGATGGCGATGGAGCAGGCTGATGGTGTCCTTCTGATTGCTTTTGCACTCTAGCTGCCCAACCACTGGGAAAAGGCTGTCATCACAGTGCAGCGACCTGGAAAGATCCCGGCCAGCAGCCGCTGTGGTAATACCATACCCGATGACGACAACCAGGTGGTGTCCCTGTCACCGGGCTCAAGGTCAGTGTGGCAGTGGTTCCCAGCTCCACAAAACTCCAGCACGAATGAGTGTTTACTCTGATCTTGCCTTGCGAGCCTTCCTCATCACCTTAGAGCCAGATGCTCTCCCCTTGGGGGTCGCCCACCTGAACCAAACTCTCGAGGCTCTCCTATAGGGCAGTCACACGGCGGCCCCTCTGGGCCTCCTAGGCGGTGTGTGTCCTACAGGAGTAGAAAGTCTCATCTTTCTCGCTGCTCGGAGTGGCTGGCGGTTTCGAAATCCTGACCTTATGGAACCTGTATGTTTCTCTTGCTTTTAATTCTCCACGGTTGATTGTTTTTTTTCCTTGTTGTTGTCTCTGTCTTTGTTTTGGAGCAGATATGTGGTCCTTCCCCACCCTGTGTGCTTCGAGAAGGGCGTGAATTACACCGTGAGGCTGGAGCTGCCCCAGTACACCTCCTTGGACAGCGAGGTGGAGAGCCCCTACACGCTGATCGACTCGGTGAGTGAGGGTCCTTCTGGCCGGGCTGGGCAGAGTTCCCCAGCAGTCCCCGTGGGGGTGACTTGGGGTAACATCCGGAGGTTCCTTGCTGGGACGTAGACTTAGGAGCGGGGAGGGTTTTGCTTTGCTATGTGATGAGTCTCGTTTTCTTTTTTCATTAAATTCTGAAACTTTTATTCTTTTTAATTTTAATCATTTTATTGGGGCCTCGTACAACTCTTACCACAATTCATCCATCTATCTCTTGTGTCAAGCACATTTGTACATTGGTTGCCATCATCATTCTGAAAACATTTGTTTTCTACTTGAGCCCTTGGGATCAGCTCCTCATTTTCTCTCCTCTGTCTCCGCTCCCACTCCCACCTCCCTCTTGATAATTTATGTTATTATTATTTTGTCATGTCTTACGCTGTCCGACGTCTCCCGTCCCCTCGTTTTCGAGGATCGGAGAAACGTCTGGGTTTGTTGGTGTGCTTTTGCGTGTGCGTGCTCTCGCTGAGGCAGAGGGGCCGAACCTTAGCAGTGGGCCCTGCTCGCCTCGCAGCTTGTCCTCATGCCGTACTGTAAGTCTCTGGACATCTTCACCGTGGGCGGTGGCTCCGGAGACCAGCTGATCACAAACAGCGTCTGGGAGACGTTCCAGCGGTACCGCTGCCTGGAGAACAGCAGGAGCGTTGTGAAAACGCCCATGACGGATGTGTGCCGGAACATCATCTTCAGCATTTCTGCCCTCTTGCACCAGACGGGCCTCGGTAGGTCGTGCTTACGAGCCTGCTTCCGCCTCTCGGACGGCAGGTACCTGGGGGTACGGAGGTGGGAATGCACGCCCTGAAACGTGCCCCATTATCCTTTCAAGATGATCCTCCTGTAGCCTGTGGTTACAGAGCCCATTGAAGATGGAGTCAGAAATGACAGCTGCCGAAGGGGCAAGTCAAGTCCATGAGAAGCAGCAGCTTCCACCCAAGTTAGGGAGATGGACTGGAATTCCATCTCGGGAAGCGTCAAATAACTTAGAAGAGGGCCCACCAACCTCCCGGGCTTTTGTTGAATGGCTTGTGATAGTTGAGTTCTGAGGGCCTAGAGAGAAAATTTTCCTGACCTCCTGCCTAGAAAAACTGCCTCTTAGCTGCCTGCTGGGCCCTCCCTCCCCGACGCCACAGGGCTGGTGTGGTGGGACAGTCAGAATTCGGCCTGAGCCGGCGTGGGGAGAGGAGAGTCAGGGTGAGCGCAGGGGGGCAGGTTTGATGGGCTGCGCGGCCGTGTCTAAGGGTCTGGCTTCTCTCTCCCCTGCAGCTTGTGAGTGCGACCCTCAGGGCTCTTTAAGTTCCGTGTGTGACCCCAACGGAGGCCAGTGCCAGTGTCGGCCCAATGTGGTGGGAAGAACCTGCGACAGGTGTGCTCCTGGCACCTTTGGCTTCGGCCCCAGTGGATGCAAATGTAGGTGAATCAGAAGCATGGTAGTGTCCTCGTGCACAATCTTTGGTCACCAGTGGGCCTGGGGGTTGCGGCTCCCCTCCTGGGAGCAGTTCGGGGAGCCCCTATGCCTGCGGACTCTTCCCCTTAAGCCCATGGTGGGAGAAGGGTGCTTGTCACCGGGGGTGTTCTTCCGTGTAACGGTGGCTCCCTTGGCTGCCTGTTTCTCCAGCTTGCGAGTGTAACCTGCAGGGCTCCCTCAGTGCCTCCTGCGATCCCGTCACCGGCCAGTGCCACTGCTTCCAGGGGGTGTACGGGCGCCAGTGTGACCGCTGCTTACCTGCCCACTGGGGCTTTCCGAGTTGCCAGGCCTGCCAGTGCAATGGCCATGCCGATGACTGTGACTCAGTGACGGGGGAGTGTGTGAGCTGCCAGGACTACACCACGGGCCGTAACTGCGACAGGTACGTGGCGCTGCCTCCGCGGAGTCGGGAGGACAGGGCGGGCCGTGGCAGGGCAGCCATCCTGGATGGGCCCCAGAATTCATCTGTACCACGGCTCACTCGTCGCTGCCCACCTCAGTACTTTCTGGGCACTCACTCATGCTCGTGGATGGATTAGGTTAGCATCCCCATGTGCCAGCCACTGTTCAGCTGCCGTGGATAAGGAAGGGGCATGGCTCTCGGAGATGCGTTCCAGGGTCGCTGTGGGTCTCTCTAGGATTTCTAGTGCACACTCAGCAGATTTCTGGCCCAGCATGCAGGTTGTGGCATGGTGGAATGGTGGGAATACTCCACTTGACTCCAGGTAGAAACCAAATCCAGGTGGGGATTAGTCATCGGAAACAGCCTTGTATTTTTTTTAAATAAAATTTTATTGTGTTTTCAGTAAAGATTCACACAGATTAAGTTTTCACTTAATATTTTCTACATAACGTCTTCAATGATATTGGTTACGTTATTTTTCATCCCAATAGAATGCATAAAATAATTTTAAAAATAGAACAAATTAAGAATGGGTTAAAAGTGAAAAAAAAAATGCCTTTGTTCCTCTATTTTTCTTTCATGCCTTCTTTTGTATTAAATATACACAAACATGCATGAGGGTAAATCAGAAAATATTGCTACAAAATTATAGAAACCTTATCAAACAAAAATATTAAAATGTGAAATGATAATTTCTCAACCTATCTTCTATCCTTGATGTCCTCCGCATGCAGCACTTCAGATCTCCTGTCATTAGTGTTCAAAGAAGTCACTCTGTATTTGAGAGGCCCTTGCGATTCGGGTGGTATATATTCAAGGTCATATTTTGGCTCATATGGGCTTGTTTCAATTTTATTTTTTTTAATCGTTTTATTAGGAGGTCATACAACTCTTATCACAATCCATACATACATCAATTGTGTGAAGCACATTTGTGCATTCATTGCCCTCATCATTCTCAAAACATTTGCTCTCCACCTAAGCCCCTGGCATCAGCTCCTCATTTTTCCCCTTCCTCCCTGCTCCCCACCAGCCTTGTATTTTTAACAGAAAGAAAGAAAAACATTTGAGGCAACTATTCTTTCCAGAGGGCGGGGCTTGCACATTGGGCAGCTCACCAGAAGGTCAGCAGTTCAAAACCAGCAGTCTTGGAAATCCACAGGGGCAGTTGTGCTCTGCCCTACATGGTTGCTAGGAGTCGGAATCAACTCAGTGGCAGCGAGTTGGGTTTTTTACTTTCGGGGGGCGTTTCCAGAGACTGTAAACAACCTGCAAAGGTAGATCTGTCCTCCAGTTAGCAGGTGTGCATCGACTAATTGCCACGGTGGCCAAACCCTGCTGCAGATACAATCAGAATAGGATATAGACCATGCCTCCGATCACAGTTTAGCCCGGGAGGAAAAAATACATAAAAATGTCCATGCTCATTGGATATCGTTCATTACTCATTCATTATATAATAACACATGGATATCATTCATCATTACTAATAAGAAAGGCAGATGTACTGTTAAACCCCATTTTTTGGGAGGGTGAGAATCTCCACCTTTCTATATCCATGAATTTTCATCTCCTCTACTACTCAATCCTCTGTCTAGAACGTGGTTTAAAAAGCTGGCTGTGTTCTGCCTGTATGAAAGGCATTCTTCAGAGGAGAGGAACTGGAATTGAGTAGGGTGGGAAGACGGGACAGGAGCTCCAGGCCCCAGCTCCTGCTGAATGGTGTCCCCAAAACTTGGAGGTTCCACTGATGATGGCTCTTGTTAGAAGTTACTCCTCCCAACCCCCAAATTGTGTTGTGAAAAAAGTGGCACAAAATTAACTAGGCCAGCGCACGAGGAGACTAATATATCGGTGCCTCTCTTCTTCCGTAACTTTTGGTTCTTTCGGTGGGTGATGGAGAGAGACAGATGAGAAAATCCGATTTAAAAGTAGACCTCTGGATGGTTGAGCGGAGAGGTAAACCGCAAAGGTGGCTGCCCGTAAGGCTGGTTCAAAACCATCTGTTTTGATTCTCGAGGAAGCGTGTGAGCGGACATGGGACGAGGAGATTTGTGGCTGTAGCTTGGCTAACCAGGATTTATTTATTGATTGAGCATTTGGAATGTTGCTCTCTAGTTTAAGCCAGTAACTCATCCTTCTCTGTCTTCCAAGATGACCAGAGTTCCCTCCCATGAACCGGCAACACCAAGAGGCTAGGCTCAAATTATTCTCCAGGGGGCAAGTGTGCAAGAGACAAGAAGTGAACCTGAGGTTTTGTCTCATGTGTTAGCGGTCATTTCACCACGAAAAGCCCCTAGAGCACGTCCTCAGAAACCCCCGCACACATTTCTGCATCTCTCTACCCCGTCGGCAAACTTTGAGATGGAAGAGCCAATTCTGTCCCTTACCGCTTAAAAATTGTTCAAGAGCCATAACTATATTTTTTACAAACAAAATCACCATTAGCTGCATAAAGGCCTGTAAAAATTTTCAGTTTTACTTCAGAGCTACATACATGTGTGTTTTGAACGAGCTGCATCATATGTGGCTTGAGAGCCAATTCCTGCCCTAACATAGTTAGGAAACGCATCCGCGTATTTTATCGTAGCGCACGGTGTCTAGTTCAATAGAGAGTTTGTTTCCTCCAACAAATGTCCCCTCCTGCTTCTGTCTTCCCAACTTTTCTTAAAGCTGTAATAGTCCCTCTGCCTCAGAAGAACTTGAGAAGCAGACGAGACTTCCAAGGCCCAGTTTTGCATCCCACTTGCTTTATAATCCTCCGAATATCCACTTTCTGCTGTAAAATAACTACCGTATATACTCGAATATAAGCTGACCAGAATATCAGCCGAGGCACCTAATTGTACCACAGAAACTGCATTAAAAATGTGCTGACAACCCCAGCTTATACATGAGGATATACGGTAAGTTGGATTAAATGGGCTCCAAAGGTCCTTTAGATATTCCAGAGAAAATGTGAAAATAAGCCAGTCACCATTCATCTCGAGAAGCCGCGTGATGTGGTACATGAATTCCTTGTTAAAAGGAGTCTGAAGTCAACTATTGACTTCATATGAACTAACCTTGTTAATCCCCGTATCTGTAAACCAGGAGAGCTGGGACCTCTTGGCTGTGGGTGGTTGATAACCGGCATCCCTTCTCCCTGCCCGAGTTTGGCATCACCTGAGGAGCAGACACGGGATTCCCCCAGCTGGAGATCTTCCCAGTCGGTTGCATTGCTGATAAAAGCAGGGTTGCAGTCAGGGCATTCAGATCTGGTCATTGTGGACATCACCCCACCCAGCCCAGGCAGTCAGACAACATTCAGTCACCTGTCACCCCCTCCACTTCCCTCAAGGGCAGGAAGCAGGAAGGTCAGAATAGACCGATGACTGGATGGGAGACTGCAGGTGGGAGATGTCTTCTCCCGTGAGGAGTGAGTGAAGGCCGGGCCAGGTGTTTCTCCACAGCTGCAGTGCTGCAGGTGTCCTCAGAGCAGCAGCAGCACCTGAGAACCTGGGAGTCGTATACATTCTTGGGTCCTTCCCCAGGCTGCCTGAATGAGAACCCCCAGGGGAGTCCAGCAGTCTGCATTTGATAAGCCCCCAGGCTGCCTGAATGAGAACCCCCAGGGGAGTCCAGCAGTCTGCATTTGATAAGCCCTCCAGGGGATGCCCATGGGAACCACAGGCTGAGAACCACTCCTGTCATGGAAAGGCCTCCACAAGAAACAGAGGAGTTAGGGAGTCAGCGTTCCCCAAAGGAGTCTTAACAGTAGGGCTCATGGCTCTTTCTTTTCCTCATCTGTCTAGGTGCTTGGCCGGTTACTATGGCGACCCCATCATTGGGTCCGGAGATCACTGCCGCCCTTGCCCTTGCCCAGATGGTCCCGAGAGCGGACGCCAGTTTGCCAGTAGCTGTTACCAAGATCCTGTTAGTTTGCAGCTTGCGTGCATCTGCAGTCCTGGATACGTGGGTAAATAAGGCACCTACCTTTATCAGCAAAGAGGGTTGAATAAGAGGGGACATTCGTTGTTAAGAAAAGAATGGATAGGCTGGCTGATTTAGTTTATTTTTTAGTAATCCTTAATGCTAACACAGCTGTTCTCAACCTGGGGGTCGAACAACCCTTTCACAAGGGTTGGCCGGTCACAACTGTAGCAAAATTAGTGATGAAGTAGCAATGAAAATAAGTTTATGGGTTGGGGGGCGGGCGCTCACCACCACACTAGGAACTGTATGAAAGGGTCGCGGCATGAGAAAGGTTGAGCACCACTGGTTGATAGAACCCTTGGACTTGGATTTCAGTAGCAAAGCCACCATTTAGGTGGTCAAATCCTTATTTAGCTAAAGTCCCATGGATTCAAAGGAAACTGTTAAAACTGCCCATGCGACCTGGTGAGAATGGGAGATTGCTGTCTCCAGGCATCACCATAGGACATGTTGGGGCGCCCTTGCCTGGCTCCTTCTGCGTAAAGAACACCCAGGTTCTCCTTAGCCGCTGTGGCTCTGCGGCAGTGCTGGCTCCAGTTCTTTCCCCTCAGAAGTGGGCGTCCCCCGGCTCGTCAGGACCGCGGGGAGAGGAGCCCATCAGTGCCTGGGCGGGCTGTCCCTGGCAGGGGTGTCAGCTGAGTGGTGAGCTCCCTAGTCAACAAGCTGAAAAAGTCGTCTTCTTGGCTTTCCTGGACAACAGGCGCCCGGTGCGATGAGTGTGCCCCAGGATTCTTTGGCAACCCCTCGGTTGTTGGTGGGACGTGCCAGCCTTGCCAGTGTAACCACAACATCGACACCACGGACCCCGGCGCCTGTGACAAGGAGACCGGAAGGTGCCTCCGGTGCCTGTACTACACGGAAGGGCCGCACTGCCAGCTGTGCCGCTTCGGCTACTACGGAGACGCCCTCCAGCAGGACTGCAGAAGTGAGCCCAGCCGCCCCGTCCCTGCCCCTCCATGTAGTGGACACGAGCAGTGTGCAGAGAATCTCACCCTGGCCGAGGAAAGGGGGAGATTGGCTACCTTCCCTTGGCAATAAGTCACTTCCTGGCAGGACTAGCCGTGTGGGGAAATGACCCCAAGGGAAATTTCTCATGGCGTTCCTTGATTTCAAGTTCTGCTCATGAATTTTCTGGGTGGTTGGGACTTCGCGGATTCTAAATGGCCCTCCTTCGTCCCCAGCTTTTCTGGTACCATGATGAGGTTTTACCCAACTGAGGAAGGAGGAAACAGTAACTGTGAAGTCTGTCCCAAAACTTCTTGTTCTCTCTTGCTCTGATCTGGAGATCCGAGGCATTTCCCCCTGGCTGGCTGCTGCCAACCCTCAGGCCCCTGTCTCTGTTTATATAAACGCTTGGCTGGAATGTTGAGGACCAGCAGGGCTGGATTCCTCAAAGCCTTACTAACTCAGAGCTTCTACCTGCCCCATTCCCCACGTCCCACACACTCATTCCTGCCAAGAGTTTGAAAGTAGGAGACACCTCAAATCCCACTGGCATCTTCTTCACGATTTTCACACTAAATCCTCACCTTGCCGCTACCTGCAGCTTGTTACTAAGTGTGTGATTTGAAAATAGCCACTGGGCAAAAGAAGCCTTTGTGCTTCTCTGCCTGGGAAATAAATGTCCGTCCGGTGTAGCCTAGCACGAGAACTTTAACAAAGCTGAGACTCCCGGCCGTTGAGTCGATGCTGGCTCATGGAGACCTGGTCGGGTAGCACTGGCCCTGTGCGCTTCCATGACTGGCTACAGGAGTAGAAAACTGCAGAGTTCTCCTATGGGGTGACGTGCTTTGGAACCGCTGACCTGTGGGTAGCAGTCCAACTTGTAAGTTCACCGCCAACAGGGCTCCATGAGGATTTTAGAGGAACAGTAATTTCAGGGTTGCGGGTTTTTTATATCACCTTCATTCCTGTCCCTACCTCTCTGCATGTCCGGGTGGGGATCAAACGAGGGGGAGTCTGAGCTCTGGGGGCTGAGGAGTGGAGGTACAGGGGCTCTAACTTCAAGCCTCTCTTTCAGAGTGTGTCTGCAATGATCTGGGGACCGTGCGCGACTACTGCAATGGCTCCGACTGCCAGTGTGACAAAGCCACTGGCCAGTGCCCGTGTCTCCCAAACGTGATCGGGCAGAACTGTGACCGCTGTGCGCCCAACACCTGGCAGCTGGCCAGCGGGACTGGGTGTGGTCCCTGCAGCTGTGACCCTGCCCATGCCTTTGGGCCATCCTGTAACGAGGTGAGGGGCCAGGGGTGTGGCGGTGAATGGGTTCCCTCTCTTTGGGCTCCTAAGGGCATCCTCTGGTGGCTTGGCCCCCAGCGAGCCGGGGGCAGCCCTGCAGGGAGCACAGAGCCTGGGCGGAATCTGGGTGCTTACTGTTCCCCCTGGCTGGAGCTGACCCTACACACCGCTCAGGTGGGCTGCCCAGGCTGCTGCAGCGCAGACTGACTGGAAGCCGGTGAGACTTTTTGCCTGTGAAGCTTAGGGAAAAAACCAGTAGGTCCAAACAAACAGCAGTCAGGAGGATGGCGCAGGACTCGACCGTGTTTGGTTCTGTTGTCTGTAGGGTTACTATCAGCTGGGAAGGAACCCAGGAGCCAAACCCAGCACTCTAGAACGTTGGTGTGTTAGCTCACAGACACGATTCGAGCAGTGCGCCCTCATTCGGGTGGCCGAGGATGGCGACCCATCCCTGAGGACAAGAGGCAGGGACCAGTGTGTCATGTGCTGGCCAGGACCTTCCCGGTCCAAAAGGCTCGGTGGGAAAGGAGCTGCTGTACAGGGTTCTCACACCAAGGACCAAAGGTGCTTTTTGCCTGAACTGGGGGCGCCGGCACTCGGCTCAGGCCCGCTTCCCACTGGCATCTGACAGTGAAAAGCTTGCTGCTGCCCGGAAGTCTGACCAAGGTCTGTTTTCTGGCACAGTTTACAGGGCAGTGCCAGTGCATGCCCGGGTTTGGAGGCCGGACCTGCAGCGAATGCCAGGAACTCTTCTGGGGAGACCCCAACGTGGAGTGCCGAGGTGAGAATGGTGTGCGGGGTGGTGCCCACGGCCGCCTGGGACCGGGTCAGAGGGCAAGAGAGCAAATAGGTGCAAGAGCGTGGTGTCATCGACATCTCCCAAATAGGGAGTTGATTCGAACCCAAGCAAGCCCGCAGGACAGAGGAAAGCCGCTCCGGGAGGTTGCAGGGGCAGACAGCTCCAGCTTCCTCCCAGGGGGCAGCAGCTGGTGAGTTTGCCCCTTGTGGTCAGTAGCCCAATGCCAAAGCCACTGCTCCACCAGGGCTCCTTAAACTCCAAAGTGAGGCTCAGCATCTGTCTATAAAAGCTCTTCGTTTAAGTACAAAAGAAAGTTGTCTACTCATTGTATAAAAACGAACAGGAAACCCCAAACCAGCATGTCTGACAGTGCTTACTGCTCCAGGCCCACTGGGGCTCAGGGTAGCACTGGGCTTGTCTTTGTATTAGAACACACTCACACACACACAATGGAAGGGGCTTTGTTTGTTTTCAGTGCTTTTTACCTAAACAGGCTCATGTTAATTATCTACCAGGGGCGTTCACGAAGTGTGTGGACAGATTCCATTATCTGGGTTGACTGCGTCCTGAGCAACCACTCCCCTTGCAAGGAGCGCGCTATGCCACCGTCCAGACGCGCCAAGGGATCTCCAGGAAGGAAGCACTTCTTGAAGTCTGGTTTTGCCCCCAAACTTTTCAGTTTGACTCAGTTACAGCCCTCACATTTATAAATGCCCCCCAAGGGCTTGATTTTACCCCCCGGATAATTATTCTGTTGTCTCATTCCCTGATTTTATCAGCGTGTGCTATTGGCGAGATTGCTTTGGCTGCCAAAACTTTCTGACCTTTTGCTCCATCTGAGCATTGTTAGCATGAAAAGCCTGCCACCCGGAGTCTGCCTCAATCGGAGAATTGTTCGCTGAGTGCTCCGAACCTTACACCTTCCCTTCGATCTGTCCTTCCAGCTTTGAGCTCTCAATCTGTCAGGGGAATCGTGACTCATTGGAGCGCCATCAACTTGTGTGGGTCAGGAGTTCGGTCCAGTTTTAGAAACTGCAAAGAGCGAGAGCCCTGGCGTCAGTGTCCGCCAGCTCCCTTGTTCATTTTACCCAGAAGAAAGGTCAGCCTCGTGGCGAGAGGAACTGGCCTTCGGGAATGACCAGCCAGCAGCGCAAAGCAAAACCCATCCAGCAAAGAAGTGGGGTGATTTGCATGGGGCGGTTGTGTAGACTCCCTCCTGCTCCCCTTCCCTCTGCTTGAGAGGGGTTAAGGCTCAGCTGACAGCTGAAAGGTCTACCAGTCACATCCACTAGTGGCTGGCTCCAAGGGAGACAAGTCTTGGCAATCTATTCCCATAAAGATAATAGTTTTGGGGGGGGGCGGGGTGCTGCCCTGTGGGGCAGTTCTGGGGGTGGGGTTGATCTGCGTCAGTCACCCAACAGCACCCTGGGAAAAGAACATGAACTCTTCTCAAAGGAGATGACTGCCAAGTAATTTTCCTTGATTTCCGTTGAAATGGAGAGCACAGATTGAGACTTCCTGGCACCACCCGTTGACCATCCGCTTATAGAGAGGCTTAGGTCATAGCTATGCATTCTTCTTGTGGAGGGGTGGGGGGTGTAGTTATATAAAAGACAGATGAGTTGCCTAAAACTTACAAATGGTGGTTGAATGTTCCTTTTGTCCACCCGGGTCGGGGCTCTCGGCCAATCATGCCAAGTTTGAACAAGCCCACCAGTGTGTTGGGGTGGAGAGAGAATCCCATCCACCCACCGCTAACATGCTGGAGCAAAGGTCCCCCGCAGGGCTCTGCATTGTGCCCCTCAGGAGTCACAGGGCCAGCATGAGGACTCTTTTCTGTTGATTCATAGAAAGCAGAGAGAGGGCAAAGTTTCCTTGTGGGGCTTCGGACTCTTGGAAAAGGACAGTTTCTTTAAGGCCAGCTGATGGGGACTGTGGAGCATAGGCGGGTCCCTGTGACAGCTGGCTTCTGAGAAGGACATGACTGTCCTGGATAAGGGTCTATTAGGGCATGGCTGTGGCACGGAGGTACCGTCAGGAACCTTAGTGGGAGGATTTGGTTTCATCAGGTCAGCTGAGATCAGTCTGTGAAAACCCTTTAAATGCCAGGCCGTTAAAGGCGAGCTTTCTTCTGAGCTGAGGCAGTCTGGAGAAGAGGGTGAAGGAGATAGAGAAAACAGAGGTGCTCTATGGGTCTGACTAATAAGTACTTAGGGGGAACCCTGATGGTGTAGTGGTTCTACATTGGATTTTGATCCGCATGGTCGGCAGTTCAAAACCACCAGCAGCTCCTTGGGGGAAAAGACCGGGTTTCTGCTCCCATGAACAATGACAGGCTCGGAAACCACAGGGGGCTCGCTGGCAGTGAGTGTGGGTTTTTGGAGGCTGTTGTTTTAGGCAGTTCTGGTGGGTTGGTCGTTAAGGCACTGGGCTGTTAACCTTAAGGTGGCTGATTGGAAGCCACTAGCCACTGCACGGGAGAAAGATGTCTTCCAGAAAGATCGCAAGACTAAAAACCGAGCCCGCTGGCATCAAGTCGGCTCCAACTCGGCAACCTTAGCAGACGAGGAGAGCTGCGCTGCTGGGTTTCTGAGACTGGCCCGTTAGGGAACCAACCAGCTGCATCGTTCTCCCAGGAGCACCAGGCGGTTGCATTTGAACCCCCAACCTTGTAGTTAGGAGCCCAATGCTTAGTTCACTGTGCCAATAAGGCTCTTTTTCCATACAGATTACGGCCTCGAAAACCTCATGGCCTTGACTTGTGTGGTGTTTTGCTTTGGGCATCAATGGCTGTAAAAGTGAATGCAATCTTCTTCAATTTGGAGCCCTGGTGGCGAAGTGGGTCTATGTTGGACTGCTAACTGCAAGATTAGCAGTTCAAAACCACCCACGGCTCCTTGGGAGAAAGACCAGACTTTCTGTTCCCAGTAAGAATTACAGTCTCGGAAACCCACAGGGAAGTTCTACTTGTAGGGTTCTCATGAGTTGGGATCCACTCAGTGACCACTTAGTATGTTATGGTGGCCCAGTGAGTTATGCATTAAGCTGCCAACCACAAAGTCAGGGGTTCAAACTCACCAGCCGCCACTCTGAGGGAGGAAGGGAAGGCTGACTGCTCCTGTAGTGACTAGATTTTGGAAACCCAAAGGGACAGTTCTACTCAGTCTTAGTGGGTCACGATGAGTCTGACTGGACTTTATGGCTTGGACATTTTATTCTTCATTTACATGTCTCCAGGATCACGTTTTAAATGATGAAAAAGCTTTGTCAAAATAAGAGGAAGCCTACTGATCCCAGAATGAACTTACTGAAACAAGTAGGAGTCTTTGGTTCATGGCTGTGGTGGCGGTCTATGTTTTTAACGTGCTCCTTTTGTCTGCATGGTGTGTTCACCTTAAAGATGCATCAACAACTTCTGCTGCACACTCGCTTACACTCTTCTGCCATAGGGAAAGTGTGTGGTCGTCTGCCACAGCATCCCATTTCCTAAAGCACCACAGTGCTGCCACCTCCTGTCTCCCATGGGCAGGCGGGAGAAAGCCGGAAGCCATTGATGCTCCTTGATGATCTCCACCCTGCTGGGTGGGAGGCGATTGGCATGACCTTGTCATAGTGTGAGAATGGCATTTAACTTGCCAGCTGCGTGCCAGGCTTTCTGCTTCAGCCATGAGTGTGGCGGGCTCTCAGAAAGGACCAGGAGGGAGGTCTCTCATCGGGGTGTGCATGTGGCCCTTCTAGGGCTCCCCTCCCAGGTGAGTGGTTCTGGAAACGTCGCAGATAGTCAGGGAGCGCAGGGTGATACGGCTGTGCATGGTTTCCCAGCTGCAGTTTGAAATGCAAATGGAGGCATTTTAGAGGAGTCCTTGCCGTCAGGATCGACTTTGTCAATGCTGAACCGGCAACAGCCAGCCCTCTGGGTAAGGGATGGACGGGGTGTTGAAGCCAACAGCAACGGAACAGGACTCTCTGTCTTCTGGAGCCTTTGGAATGCTGGCCTGAGCTGAACTCCAGGCGCCAGATGGGTGGGATGCCTGAGTGACAGTCCCACAGTGTCAGGCCTGTGTTTGCCCTCAAAGATGCCCATGACAGAATGAGAGCAAGGCATGCCATTAGTGATGAAAGAACCCGAAAATCATTCACTGGAGAAGTTAAAAAGAAATGTGTCCTGGGCACACGTCTCTTGCCCCGAGCAAGAATCCAGTCAGAGCTTGTTTTAGGACTGAATGAAAGGGTTCCTTTGCCTTGCCTATGGGAAGAAAGAATTTTCTGAGCAAATTAAAAAAAACAAAAAAAACGTGAAACTTCTGTGTCCCTTCTCCCAAGCCAAGGTAAGTAGGCAAAGGGTCATTGGACCCCCTTCGGGAAGGATGCTGAGTTGTCTTAATGTTCTCTGTTTTACTTCTCTGGGTTCTATCTCCAATGTAATGGATACACAGAACTCAGACAAAACTCACGATTAAAGGGCTTATTCAGAAGGTTAACAAGCTGTAATGCCAGTGCGAAAGGCTCAGGGTTGCATTGTCAGCGCAAGTCCCAGAGTTCTTTTTGGTCTGATCAGAAATGCCCACAGGGCATACCACTCCTCCACTTCATGCCTCAGCCCAAAGGAACTCAGCCCCACTCCCACGGGTCAGCAAGCATAGCTTCCCCAATGAAGTGCCCAGAGGCCCCCACTCCACAGCCCGCCGCCCCCACACAAGCACTCTGCTTTACTTGCTCTGTGGTTGTGAGTCCATTGTGCCGTTTGTTCTGTGCTCTGGCTCCTGGTGCTGCTGCTGCTCCTGCGATGCTGTCGCTGCCTTTTGGTGTCTAGAGGACACACTCCACTCCTGGCTCCTGGTGCTCTTGAGATCCTTCCTCCTGCTTCTCCAAGGGCTTGTTTTTACACAGCAGGATGGCATGGCAGAAAATCCAGTTAGTCACAGGTGAATCCTTTCAGAATCTTCCCCCATCTTCTCACCAGGTTCATGCAAGGAAATGTCATTTAGTGGAAGTTAGATGCTTTGGCTGGAAGAGCCACATGAATGCATTCACTGTCCCTGTCGCTGGGAGGGCGGGGGTAAAGTCCTCTGGTTTCTTGCATGCTGACATAAGGCCTTGCGTTTGCACATCAGCCTATGTGGGTGGACGTCCAGAGCCCTGACTCCTTGCTCCAGCTCTACTCTTGGAAGAGTAAAGAGAAGCTTGGGGGTGGGGGTGGGGTGGCAATAAAAATTCACACTAATGTACAAAAGGCAAACTAGAACAGCTAGAAAAATGACACAGCGTTCTTCAAAGGAGCCTTAATGGCATAGTGGGTTAAGCATCAGACTACCAACTACAAGGTTGGCAGTGTAGACTCACCAAAAAGATGTTACAGTCTGCAGGCTGAGAGCCTCCGAAACCCCGTGGAGCAGTTCAGTTCTGGGCCTGCCGGATCCGTATGAGGTAGATTTGACCCGATGGCATTGAGCTTATTCTTCAGGGTTGGGTCTACTGACCCTCACATCCACATCATGGGGGCTTTCCTAGGGATGCTCATCCTCAGGTCCTGCCCCAGACACCCTCAGTGGGAACTTGGGAGTCGGGGCCGGAGCCGCAGCCTGAGATACTATGACGTGGTCCAGAGCCTTTCCGCTTTCTGGAAGGTGACTGCATTTCCTTTAAAGATGGGGAGGTACGTTTATTGAAATGGAAAGCATTCCTACATTTTAAGCATCCTCAACCCCTTCGGGAGGTTTTCTTCCTTCTCCTGTCCTTAGAAATCCATGTAGGCTTTCCTAATATATCTGTAGGGTTTCTCAGGGGACCCCACTAGAGAAACCCATGGGCTGAACACTTCTTTAATACAGCTAGGTAAAAACAGAGTGAAAGAGTTGTTTGGGCTTTTCCTTCCTGCAGACCACCACCCGGGTTTTAAGGTGCCAGTGTGTGTGTGTGTGAGTCTCAGAGGAGGGTGTCGGCCGAGCTGCCTTGCCCACATGCCCTTGGCTGTGGCACACAGTGTCCAGGGAGCAGCTTCGAGCTCGCACTCCATGGAGCACAGTTAGAGCGAGCCGCGGGAGCCACCCCTGACTCAGCGTGAGAGTGGCCCAGAGAAATAGGAAAATGCCCACAGTGCCTGGCCAGAAACAATCCTAAGGAAACAAATGAAGGGAAAGGTCAATTTTTTTTTAACTCCAGGCACCAAAGGAAGGCTATCCTATTTTTAAATCCTGAAGGTAGAGGACTTCAAATATTCCAAACTTCTAAAGCTTTGAAGGATCATGGTGTTGTTGGCAATTGCCCCTCAGAACCCCTGTTACACTGCGCCGGTTTAGTTCTCTTTTTATCAGTAATTGAGCCCAGGTGTAAAGCATAGATTACTGACCTTGCTGTTACTATTTTGTATTGCCAATGTTCTACACAATGATGCATTTTTAACGCTGGGGGGAAATCGTGTTACTGTACTTCAGCAGTACTCATCCTTGGGTGTGGCCCAGGGAGTTAGATGCCTTGTTTTGGAGAGCCACTGTCATCGTGAAATACACTTGAATCGTCTGTGCCGCTGTGACCTACAGCGCAGCCAAGCAGAGGGCGGTGGAGGAGGGTGGCAAGAGCAGGTCAGAGGTCAAGAACACAGGCAGCAGAGTTGCAAAGTGGTTGTGCTGTCAGAGGGGGCAGGTCGTGCAGTCCTCTCCACTCAGGCTCTACCGCCGGGAGTAGTGATAAGGTAGCGCCTCAACTCAGGTCACAAAGCATCAAAAAGCATTGCTGCAAAGCCTGCCGCCTCGTAACTGGTCAATAAGAATTAGTTTGGTTTCCCCCTATCACACTGGTATTACCAGGAAGGGTCCACGGTGGTTCGCGAGGGTTGAGTGTGAGCCATGAGGCCGCTGCTGCAGCCCCTCCATAAGCCTTTGCTACATGGTGGTCCATAGCCAACACCGTCCCGTGTGACAGTCACCAAGGGTCTACGTGCCACCCGTCAGTAACGTTCGTGATCCAGCAGGTCAGCTAAGCACTACCGTTTCTCTTGCAGCCTGTGACTGTGACCCCAGGGGCATTGAGACGCCACAGTGTGACCACTCCACGGGCCAGTGCGTCTGCGTCGAGGGCGTAGAGGGGCCGCGCTGTGACAAGTGCACTCGAGGCTACTCGGGGGTCTTCCCCGACTGCACGCCCTGCCACCAGTGCTTCGCGCTCTGGGACACGATCATCAGCGAGTTGACCAACAGGACCCACCGATTCCTGGAGAAGGCGAAGGCCTTGAAGATCAGCGGGGTGATCGGGCCTTACCGCGAGACTGTGGACTCGGTGGAGAAGAAGATCGACGAGATAAAGGACATCCTGGCCCAGAGCCCCGCGGCCGAGCCGCTGAGAAACATTGGCAGTCTCTTTGAGGAAGCCGAGTAAGTAGCTCACGCGCCAGGATCCCAGTTCACGGGATGTTTGCAGCTGCGTGAACATACAGCAGAGCTCCTGCAAGGGTGCCGGCCAGCTCTCCTACCGCAGGGGTGAGGGCAGCATTGAGTGAAAACCGATTCGGGGCTGGCCATTCATGTCCCTGCAGCCCGGGAATGAGGGTGAGTGAGGTTCGCACACCCCAGGGAGCCACAGGATCAAGTGTGTGCAGGCTGTGGTCAGTGCTCGGCTTGTGACGGACGCGCCAGATAGGGCGGAAGGTGAACTCTGCTCCCTGCTAGGCTTATGAACTTGGAGAACTCACTGAGTTCCTGAGCCTCTGTTTTCTCACCTGTGCACATGTTTATACCGGGGAGAGAGGAATACTATTGGCCTCTGCCTTAAACAATAAGGAACTCTGACGGTGTAATGCTTATGCCTGGGGCTTCCCTCTGCAAGGCCCGCAGTTCAAAACCACCTCAGGAGAAAGACAGGGCTTTCTACTCCTAGAAAAAGCCAGTCTCAGAAACTCCCAGGGGAGGTTCTACCCTGTCCTACAGGGTCGCGGTGAGCCAGCGCCAACTGGATGACAGTGAGATTGGCTTTTTTTTTTTTAAACAAACCCGTTGCCCTTGAGTGGATTGTAACTCATGGTGACCCTATATACAGGACAAAGTAGACCAAACCCAAAGCCACTGCCATCGTCAGTTCTACCGCATGGTAGGGCTTCTGAGGCTGCCAAGTTTGATTGTTGACCTTGCAGATGGCAGTCCCTTCCCTCGCTGACAGGGCCACCAGGGCTGCCCGGGCAGAGCGGAACAACTGCGTTGATTGCCATTGTCATAAGTTTTGCTACTCTTGGGGAAATTCCATTACCATCAGTAAGAGTCCTTATTTGCAAGTGATTTTTTTTGCTGCACAGCCATTGATGCACCAGACTAGCATATCACTCACCTAATTCTTCCAAGTTCTTGGCACTGAGAAATAAACCCTTTCCCAGCCCTTGTGTGAGTCATTCCTGCTGCGGCTGCAGAGTGATGATTCCCGGTGGAAGCAGAGAGATGGAGCTGGAGGGTGCTGAACTTCTCAGGGATCAGACACCATTTTTCTGCCCTTTCTCTTCTCCTCATCTATTCCAAGTACCTGTGTCAAGAATTCCATTGCCAAAAAAGGGCATCGTCCCCCAAAACCAGCACAAATAAAATCTAGAAACGGAAGGAAGGAGCTCGCTGTTGTGATTCTCCAAATGGTATTTTCTTCCCAGATTCATCTTATCACCAAGAGGCAGGGCACGGCAGCATTTTGGTGTGTGAAGAGTCCCTCATCGGCATGTCTAAGAAGATAGCATAGCCCCTGGTGGCCCAAAGGGTTAAGCATTCACTGGCTAGCTGAGAGGTTGGTTCGTCGGACCTCCTCCCCCTCAGAAGCAATGGGCCGCAGTTCTGCGCCATCCTGATTCGGTGGCCCCTGGTTTTTGTTTCACTTGGTTTTGTTGTCTCTTGGTTTTCAGAAGGCAGACAGACCTTTCACCTCATTTGCTTGTTTTTGAAAACCAGGAAGGGAACTAGGAACATGAGCTTCCAGAGTGAACTAGATTCTGAGTAATGCAGTGTCTGGATTTGACTCAAGCATTGGGTTTTGTGCCCAAGACTGCATGGTTGACCAGACGTTGGGAGCCGTCAGGTGAGGCCTGCTGCATTAAATGGGGAAATGCGAAGACACGGCCCAGCCTTCTCGTGTGCAGTGGCACACGTTTCGGTGGCAGCAGTCGAGAGGCTCAGCCCGTTGACGTGGAAGAAATGCCTCGGCCTGGGCGTGTGCCCACGGGAGCAGGAAAAGACCTGCTGTCCTTTGAGAGCCCGCCCGCCCGCCGAGCGAGAGCACCTTCCTGCCGCGGCCGTGTCGACCCGTGCTGGCCATCCATCGGGGAAGCTAGTTCCATTTCTCTCCCCCCCACTCCCCACCAACACCCCAGGCTGTCTTGGGGTCCCAGGTAGCAGTTTTACACAGTAGGGGATTTGACTTTGTTAATCTTCATGCCAACCTCTATGAGACCTGAAGAACCGAAAGCCTCCCACGATTAACCCATGCAAAAGATTGTACATTCTGTTATCCTCAGGAAAGGTTACTGAGCTTTTTAAAGGTAATCTAATCTACCAAATCCAGTGAGCTGTTGACATTGGTTTTCTTTCTTCGAGTTAATCTTGCCACTCTCGTAACCGTCTAGCGGCTCTCAACCTCTGGGCATCTCCAGGTGTCCCCACTTCTATACCGAGCGGGATCTCTGAGAAGGCGATCGGGGAGTGATGGAGGATAGCCCAAAGCGAAGGTCTAGTCAAGTCTTCCTAGGTGATTGTCTGCGGACGTACTGCGTGTGCACAGCTCGAGTAAGTGCCTACCACAAGCCTTCAGACAGCGACAAGGAGATACTGAGCCACACATTGGGTTCAGGTTTCACGTGAAGTATTAAGGAGGGAAAAGTTGACCGGTCTCCCTTTCAATAGATAGTACTTTCTTTCTCAGGGCAAAAGGAAGGACTGCTTGTTGCCAAAGGCGGCTCCTCTGGTGGAGCTTGCCTGAAGGGGGCGGAGAGTAAGAAAAGCTGGTTTGGGTGGCACCCCATTGTCTTCCTGGTGGGCTTCCTCCTGGCCTGGTTCATCTCCACGGAGACGCCTCAGGCTCAGAGGAGAGCTGTGGTGGTGAGGGGGGTGGGGGGGCCGGCAGAGGTCCACACGGGAATCCTTCATGTCTTTGCAGCTTGTGGGTTGTGTGCATGCAGGAAACCGTTTTCCTCCGGAGCTGGGCCTCCACACTCTGGCCTATGCACGGATCGCAGCAGACACGTAGAAGCCGCCCGCTGGCCTGTGTTCTGCCGTGGTGCACCTGTGTTTCCCTTCCACGGCCTTGAAAGGCAGACAGACTGTTGATAAGGAGCGTTAACACCGTACCTAGAAAGAAACGAACTGTTAAGTTGTTTGAAATGACACGCAACGGCTGGTGACAGCGTTCTCAGGAGGCGATGTAAAAAACGGACACGTTACAGTACCTATTTGCTCTTCTCTTCTCAGGAAACTAACCAAAGACGTGACGGAGCGGGTGGCTCAGGTAGAAGGGGCGCTGTCGGACACAGCGGCCCAGAGCAACGGCACGGCCGAAGAGCTGGACTCGCTGCAGGCGGAGGCGGACCGGCTGGACGACACGGTGAAGGAGCTGGTGGAGCAGCTGGAGTTCATCAAGAACTCGGACGTGCGGGGTAGGCATCTGAGGCAGTGCTTTGGGTGGGGGGGCGGGGGGTAGTGCCTCTTCCATTAGTTTAAAAACTTTTTCCTCCGAGAGCCTCCAGATGCAAGGATGAGCGTCTTGGTTTTACCAGTGGGGGAGCCGGGGCCCAGAGAGACTTAAGTGACACAGCTAGAGACCCCAGAGACTGAGTGGCAGTAGCTGCATATAGCAGTGTCTGTTCTCGTTTTTCCAGTGAGAGCGTAGCCCCTTACCCCAGGCTTGGATTCAAAAGGAACCCTTCGGAATACTTAGAATTTAAGTTCATCGTGCTGTAAGTTCATCTATGTTGTAGAACTGCCAATAATTCTCCTTTCCTTATGGATCTCATAGACCGAGTATAGGGCCAAGCCCATAGCAAACCAACCCGTGGCTGTCAAGGTGGTTCTAACTCATAGCAACGCTATAAGGACAGCGCTGCCCCATGGGGTTTCCAAGGATGTGCTTATGGAAACAGACTGGCTCATCTTTCTTCTAAGGAGTGCCTGGTAGGGTCGAACAGCTGACCTCTCCATGAGCAGCTGAGTGCTTAACCACAGTGCCACTAGGTTTCCTTACACTCCTAGCAAAGCAAGAGGAGGTGGACCTGCCCGATCATGCTATCCATCCCTGTTGGGTGCACTTGACTTTTTCCTTTGGGCTGGGTCCCTAGAGCTAGAACGTTATCCTGGGTCATGTGCATTCTGGTGATTTGTATGGTTTCCGTTGAATGACCAGATAACCTGATGGCACGGTGGGCTCAGTATTGAATGGCTAGCCAGCAGGCTGGCGGTGCAAACTCGTCAGCTGAACTTCTGCTCTGAGTGGGCGTCAGCTCGAAGGCAGGGTTTGGCGAAAGGCCCGAGGAAAGGGAAGCGTCCAGGCCGTGTCGAACTAGCTAGGTGTGGGAATACTGTCTGTGTGATGAACTGAGGCTTCATCTTCCATCCAGATGTTTGCCTCTCCCCTTACCCTCAACACAGGTCCTGCAGCATCCGAGACAAACCAGACCGCCTCATCGAGATGTTCGCTTCTTGAATTTTAAACCCAGTCGTACAGAAAATGGAGGGGCTGCAGACACCAAATAGGGGTGTGGGTGTTGGCTTGGTGGGAGACCAGGTATCATGGGATTAACAGCGGGCAATTCCCTTCCTGCCACAGGCGCCTTGGATAGCATCACCAAGTACTTCCAGATGTCTCTGGAGGCTGAGCAGAGGGTGAACGCCTCCACCACAGACGCCAACAGCACCGTGGAGCAGTCGGCCCTCACTCGAGACAAAGTGGAAGACTTGATGCTGGAGCAAGAGTCCCAGTTCCGGGAGAAGCAGGAGGAACAGTCTCGCCTCCTCGATGAGCTGGCCGGCAAACTGCAAAGCCTGGACCTTTCGGCCACCGCTGAGATGGTAAGGTTTGGGGGCCCGGTCTTGCTGGTGGTGGTCACGTGCTCCAGGGCGGACGCCGGCAGCTAAGCACTCAGCGTTACCCAGAAGATCAGCGGTTTGATACCCGCAACTGCTACCCAAGAGAGCTGCAGAAGTCTGCTTCCTTGGCGATTGACAGGCTCAGGAACCCGGAGGGGGTGGGGTGGGGTTCTACTCTTGTCCACTGAGGTTGCTGGAAGCAGGAATTGGCCAGGTGGCAGCAGGCAGGCTGATCTCTACTGTTGTTCACCATGCAAATGACTGGGCCAGAGGGAGACTCCAGGCTCAGGTTTCTGGTTGACGGTATGGGGTGTCCTTGAGCAAGCTGGATTCAGTGCAGCTGGTACCCATGGTTCCAGCTCTCCCTCCCTCTGTAGCCAAAGACCCACCACGTATGGGCTCCATACCATTGTATTGACCCAAACCATGCTCACTGCCATCAAGTCAGTGCCAACTCAGAGTAACCCTATAGGGCAGGGTTAGAACTGCCCCTGTGAGTTCCCAAGACGGTAACTCTTTATGGGAGTAGAAAACCCCCAACTTTCTCCCTGCATTCACCCAGTGACTGCTTATTTAAACTTGGTCCTCTCTGAACTGTATACTTTTTTTCCTCTGTTCTTATTCAAAGTGCAAAATCCATCTCCATGGAGGAATTCAGAATTATTCTCATAGGAACTTCCTACAAAAAAAACCCAAAAAATTCAGAGTGCCAAAGGAGGTGTTTTTTTGTTTTTTTTTCTTTGTGTGTGTGTGTGTGTGTGTGTGTTAGCTAAAATGTTCCTTTGTTCCAGTAACTTTACCTGGTGGGGATTAGCCTAGGAATGGCCTAGAAATCAGATTAATTTCCTAGAAGCTTTTAAAGAGTCACCCTGGAGCCAAATGAAATGGAGTAGCGAGATTAATGAACATCAGACAGGCAGCCAGAAAAGGCCAAACGGACCTGCTCCCTCAGCCTGCTCCTTTCTGTGTTGTTCCTGGAAGGGGACCCGGCTGGGAGAAGTTGGAGGGTGTTTTCTGTTGACTAAATCCTGTGTTTGCTGGGCTAGAAATGCAGGTGAATAAGATACTGTGAAGAATGTCTTCACCATCCTTCTCTCAGACGGTGTGGGGTGAGAACCCGCTGTCTGCACTATATTATCATCATTGTACTGATGCCGCCAAAGTTTTTTGGTTTTTTTTTCTTTTTTAACATTTTATTAGGGGCTCATACAACTGTTATCCCAATCCATACACACATCAATTGTGTAAAGCACATTTGTACATCGTTTCTCAAAACATTTTCTCTCCATTTAAACCCCCGACATTAGGTCCTCATTTTTCCCCTCCCTCCCTGCTCCCCCCTCCCGCATGAGCCCTTGATAGTTTATAAATGTGTATTTTGTCATATCTTGCCCTGTCCAACGTCTCCCTTCATCCACTTTTTGGTCCGACAAAGTTTTACATGTAGTAACCCAGGAAACTTTCCAGTAGTTTTCAAAATAGGGAAGGAGCCCTGGGTGTGTAGTGGTTACGTTTTGTGCTCAAGGTCAGCAGTTGAAAACCACCAGCACCTCCTCAGAAAATGGTAAAGAGTGACTGCCACAGAAACTCACAGGGTGGTTATACCCTGTCCGACAGGGCCACTGTGAGCCAGCCTGGACTTGATCGCCGCGAGTCAGAATCGACTTTGGTGGCCACGACTTTGGCTTGTTTGGTTATGGAAATGGAGCGTCAGTGCATCTCCTGGTTACCATGTAACAGAAGGAAGCCTGGAGGCCCGGAGCCTTGTGGACCTAGCGGGTGACAGGTATCTAGAGAGAGGAAGGTCCATTCTCAGTTTTTCTTTCCTTTCAGTACTGATGCCTTCCTAGCGAGTTAAAATAAAAGCCAGTCACCGCAGGCCAGTAAGATCTCTGCAGACGGAGCGTGAAGGAGCTGCTACACATGCAGGACTCCCGCTCTGCCAGAGCACAGTCGTCTGCGGTGGGGTGCAGGAGCGGTGCCTTGCGCTCTTTCCCTAGAATGAGCTATTGCTTCTGCTCGCTTCCACTTCCGTTGTTTACTTTTTCGTCTTACTGACAGGGACACAGCAAAACCAATCCCCGTTTCTACATCTGTGACTCAGATATCCATTGCATTCTCTGAGTTGTGCAACCAGCCTTACCCTCACATTACGACTTGTTCTTCTCTCATTAACAAGCTCACTGCCTCTGGGTTCCTATTTAATCAGGCTCTCCTCTTTATGAATTTTTGGATTGATTAGTCCACAAAAACTCCCCTGACAGGCTCCCTACTGCTTTTTCCCTGTGTACAGTGTGTGTGTCAGGTACCATCAGTCTTTGCTCTTGGTGCATACTTAGCAAGAACCTTGCATGTTCCGTGCTGTCTGCTGAAGCAAAGCAGTCTTGTGTACATGCGGGTGGTTTTCAGGTGGTCTCCCTGAAGCCTCACACTTCTTTCCATAATGGAGATTGACCGTCTTCTCACAGGCAGGATGGATGTTATTTGCTGAACCTCTTTTGCAATGGGAGAGAGTATTTATTGTGGTTATTAGTTTGAGAGACAAAAGCTCAAGCTCCCTGCCTTCAATTTAATTACGACTCATGACAACCCTGTCGGACTGAGTAGAACAGCCCCCTTGGTGCCTGACCTGTAACTCCTCCCAGAAGTGGAAAGCCTACTGTTTCTCTGAGTTGTGTTGTGGTTGATGGTTCGGAACTGCTGGCTGACCTTGTGGTTCACACCCCAACACAAATCTACTACGCCACCAGGGCTCCTGATTTGAGGTACAGTGACCTGATAGTTATCTATCCTAAAATTATTAGGCTAAAGCTTTTATTGAGATCCATCCTAAACATGATTTTTTTTTACTCCTAAGAAGAGGAGTTTCTCAGTTGTCGGCTCCTTTTCTGTAAAGCTTCCGCTTCCTTCTGGCCTGGGCCTTTCCCACGCAGGAGAGCTTTGCACACGCTTTTCTCCCTGCTGCCTTCTCTGTCACGGAACGCACTTGGAGGTTCTGAATTTGTGTGTAAGGACCTTGGCCTTGGCGTGATCTTGGAGAAGGTTCTGCTAGATTAAAAAGGATGGACAGGTGAGGGGGAAGAATCTCTGGAAAGGCTGAACCCGTCTCACATCGGGAATGTCCTCCCTCTCTGTCCCTCCTCAGATCCCGCCGCCGGGCAGCAAATCCTCCCCCACC